CATTATTCTCCATATTCTGCCACTTAACTCAGTTTCACTGGTCCACTGTATTACTAGTTAGCATGTGAAGTAAAAAGCTGTTGGTTCAAATCTCTAGTGTCTTCCTTGTAATTGTTTCATATTGTTTGGAAAATTAGGTTATTTTTGTTCTGGGCATCTGATTCCACCTTGCTGTGGATTGGTAACACAGAAGTGCAAGATGATGGTGGGGGTGAGGGAGGGGGGTCTATGGGGGTAAGGATTGGATTGTAACTTGTAAATTTAAACCATGACCAACCTAAACTTTAATTAAATTTCTAGGTGGGTCATGGTATTGGCTCCATCCACTTAACACCACAAAAACCAGAGATAACCACCATAGCATCCTACATTTCTAATATGTAATTTGCAATGCGTGTTAAACAACTGTTATGAGAAGCAGTCATAACCAGTGACATGTTGCGAGGAATTAAGTCTTTTACTGTCCATTTGTGGTCAGTTCTCTGGTCATTCAGTCTACCACCTCCTACACTGGGACCACTTAGAACTAGGTACATAGGCTATAATAGATATCACCACCTCATGTTGTATGAAGCTTTTGTTTCCCCACATTTGTATGGGGGAAATGCATAAATCTCTATGTCTGTGCCTATATATACTGAAGGTGATTGAAACTATACTGAAGGTTTTCATTAAATAAAGGTGTAATCTTATATTTCCAATAAAACCCAAATGTTCTCTGTTATAAAATCTCAGTCCAATTAGCAATATTATCATTAATTGAATTAAAGACTGATTGTACACTAGTCCAGTGTTGGTTGACATTTATTCAGACCCTACACACAAACCTGACGATGGTGATATTTTATCAGGTGTCTGTCGTGAGTGGGCCAGTAGATAAACTCGGATAATGTTCTACAAGTCAGCTCGACCATGACATTGCAAAGAGAAATAGAATCTAATGTTAATGTCAGGCAAAAAATCAATCAATAATATCCTTGTCATGGAACGCATGTTCCATGATTTGATTGCATATTGTTTCTCAATCAGTCAATGCAACCCCTTCCCCTTCCCAGTCCCGGGCCCCCCATCCCCTGCAAAAATACTCCTGATTACAGTACTTATACAGACGCAGATTCAGGATTTTGTTAGATGGGGCCTGTTATAGTTAAATACTTAAAGTCCATTGATTATAAAATCAGTAAATGAATTCTGCTCAAAATTCAATTCTTATTGTATTAAATTAAATTCATTGGTAAAGATTCTTCACTCTGAGTCCTGGTAAAAACAATTTCCATCACAATTGCTTTCTTTATTCAATTTTTATCTAACTAGTTTGTATTTATTTTCCCTTCTGAATACTTTGTCCTAAGTCATCTTTGCTTTCAATGAAAGGGAATAAAATACTAGATCAAGGCCACAAAGTTCTGTGATTTTTTTTTCTTTCATCCTGAAACTGTGTGAAGTTAAGTCACTTGTTGTGGAAATTAAGTTTGTGTAAATGTTGGATCACAAAATTTTGTAAGAATTAAATGTCATCTGATTAGGAACATCTGAAAGGAAAATTATGACCTTAATGTATCTTTGTGGAGTAACATCTCAGTAAGAAAATAAGGTGTCAGATTCGTATTAAAATCACCACCATCTGGGGTTTTGCGTTTCATAAAAACGTTTTATTTATTGCATGTTTAACAGAATTGTTTTCTTTTTGTAATATGAAGAATGTAGCAGAATTTTAAATGGACTACAAATGACATTTTTAATTAAAAGTACTTTTCTGTTGAATTTGAACTAAGCTTGCTTTACTTAATTAGAACATTAACAAGGAGAGAAGTTAATTAGGTAGAAGTAATTTGTAAAATTTAACACCAGATCATCTTCAGATAGTGTTTATAAGATGGATAGTTGCTCTGTATATCGACTGTAAAATAATGGTTAGACAATAAAAGTAACACGTCTCATATTTAAAAACATTTTGATTGATGATATTGGCTTTGTATTATGATTTACAAGGTATTTTCATGCTCTTTACTATTTTTAGTTAGAAATCAGACACAATTAAGACCCACCATTTATGGGAAATCATCAATTTATCCTCACTTGTAAGATAGAATGAAAGTTTGTGACAATTTATTTTTATTTGTTTAAACTGGAGGTTGGCATGCAGATGATTGTAACACAGTGTATCTGTAGGGTCTTCAGCTATTTGTATTTGCAGGTTTTTTTCTAGGATCTTCATTAAAATCAGTTTTTAAGGTTCTCTAAAAAATATGTCTGATTCTGTAGGATTGGTAAATGGGACACAGTTTTCTCAAATTCTGGTCATTGCTTTAATTATATAACCTTAAATACTAATTAAAAAAATGCTTAAGAATGAAATTTTTCATTGCAGATCGTCTCTTGTAATTATGTGAAAATAAAGTTCTCCTAAATAAAGAGTAATTTACAGTATTGTCTTGGCAGGATTTTATGGAATCTGTCTTTTTGGGATCTCTATAAACTGTCTGTCTTAATAAATCTTTCTTATAATAGGATTATTACAAACTTTGTTAACATCTTTATGGAATCTGTCCCTAAAGAATACTTATGAATCTTGTCTCATGAGGATCTTATAACTTTTTTGGTGGGATCTTTGTGGACATTTGGTCTATTTACAATCTGTATAAATTCTGTCTTATTGGGATCTTTATAAATTCTACTGTGGTTCCCTGATGAGTATATATTTACTACTGTTTTATAGTGACCAGGTGTTATGTAGTTACCTGAACTAACAAGTGAAGTGGGGACGAGGCTAATACCTGATGTAGAACTGAGCTTTAAATTGACAATAAACCTGTCTGTCACTCTCTCTGGTCTCTTTGGTCTGTGTCCAGACGTCAAAAGCAATCGGCTTCTGCTCGGAGCAGACGGATCGACACGAGATGTCAGTCATGTGACATTGTACCAACAGTGCTAAGGATCCTGGAACCACGGGACTCTAAAAATAAACTCCCTGCTTATTGTACGTTAAGAAAATAAAATACTTATATATGCAAGAATGTCAGTGTGAGACAGAAATACTAAAGGATCAAAGAAATCGTTGAAAACCTTGATAGAATACTCTGTATCCTACAAGTGAATCTGATGTATTATTATATATGCATGGTGTTACAAAGAAATTCTTTTATTCTCATATTTTACGGTAATTGTTAATAATAAGGCAACAGAAGTATATATTCTGGTAATAAAGTGCTGTATCAATCAAAAGATGATATCAAAATCAAGTGACAACTCAACATGCACTTATATATTCTGTATTCTGTGGCGGAAATATGTTGTTGCTGGTGTGTATTAAGTTGAATTGTTCGCTTCTGAGTTATGTGGAATATTTCAAACCAGTTTATAATTTTACAATGAATAGCTTTGTCGTAATGGGGTTACTTTGGACCAAGGAAGTATTTACATTGCTGCATCACTTCTCTTCAAGCTTTGTACAGGGTTACACTTCACAATGCAGTTAATAAAATAAAATTACAGTTGAAAGTTAAATATTTGTTTATTTCCTATCTTCATAGCACTGTGTCCAGGGAACTTATCTTTCAATTATAAGAGGAAGACGTACATAATATCTAGACTAATTAAATTTGTATATTTTGTTCATTTCCTACTAAAAAAAATTCTATGTCTGCTAATACAGTGTTGAAAATGTACTGCATTTGTACATACCATATATTGGGAATTTATTTGGGGATTTCATAATTTTTTATTGGCATTGTTTTTGTTAATGCTAGAAATGAAATTAATGTTGCTAATACATGTAATTTATGCCCTGTTCACACGGAGAGTTTAATTCGCAGTAAATTAATGCGAAGTAAAATGATGCGAATTAAACTAATGCGAATTAATTTGCGTTCACACGACAGCTTATGTGAAGTAAACTAATGCGAATTATAATTTTATTTCTACGACAAGGCTATTCAGTGAGGCTATTATGACGTCATTTACAAATCACGTCATATTGCGCTGAGCGGATACACATTTGACATAATGTCATAGTGTCTGTACACATTTTAGTGATTAACATGATTTTCCTTTGTTTTCCACTCAAAAATAGCACAAGTACCTATATTTGACCATCGACATGTGACCTGTGACTTAATTCTGCCCTTACGCATGCGTCAAAATTTAATTCGAATTAGCTTCGCTTAGCGTTCACACGGAGCTAATGCGAAGTAATTTAATGCGCAGTAAACTAATTCGAATTAAACTAATTCGCATTAAATTCTCCGTGTGAACGCGGATCAAATTTAATTCACAGTAACTTATGTTTAATTCGAATTAAACTCTCCGTGTGAACAGGGCATAAATCACAAACTTGATACCCTCTCTGAACAAAGTTTTGGGGATGGGATAAATAGAAATGACCATTTTTGTCTGTCAGTCTGTTTGTATGTCCATCTTGCTCTGTGTCTGGCTTTTATTTTGACATATTGAAACATAAGAGTCTCTTAATTGGTACAAAGGTAAACTATGCTCAATTTAATCCAAGAGTTTTAGTGATCTTCAACAGGGTGGCACTGGAGCAAAATAAAGATTAAGGTCACACAAAGTTCTGTACTAGGCTATAACTTTGTTATAATAAAATTAAACAATAATGGTTCAATGTTTTTGATAATAAGATACATGCATATTAAATACCTTTGCACAAGGACAAGGATTCAAAAGAGTAAAGTTCTGTTTCAATCAAATTTTAAAAGTTTTATTCTTGTTATAACATTGCAATGCAGGCTATTCAGAAGCTTATAAATAACACAAATGCTTTTTTGATGATTGTGTCCAGACTGTTTCGGTATCATTTGGATTGGTCATTAAACTTTTTATAAGAAATCTAATTTGGTTTTGAATTAGAATGTGTCAAGGTATAAATAAGCATTATTCCTTAAGTACATAAACTCTTGTTCAAAGCTTGTTTTGATCACTGGTCATTGCGAATAGAAGGTAACAGCTTGGGGGAGCTCATAAGTTCTGATTTTTACTTTCAGGTAGGTGACAGTGAGTCTGCAAATCATTATGAGAATGGAATACAGCAGGTCATTGTTCCACAACCAGATGACGATCAGGAGATCCCAAAACGAGTCCCAAAGCAGTCACAGCATCGACAGGAAGTGAGAGAACAGGTTGTGAAGGAGATGGAGGTAGATGAGGAAGCCGGGGATATTCCCTGGGAGGAGTTTGATGAGAAAAAATACATCGACAAAAAACGCTGCAGCGCAGGTCAGGACTGCTACAACAGAAACAAGTTCAACCAGCTAGCCAGCGACAACACCAAGAGTAACCGACATGTACCGGACACAAGGAATGCTATGTAAGTAACTGACATGTACCAGACACAAGGAATGCTATGTAAGTAACTGACAGGTACCAGACACAAGGAATGCTTTGTAAGTAACTGACATGTACCAGACACAAGGAATGCTATGTAAGTAACTGACAGGTACCAGACACAAGGAATGCTATGTAAGTAACTGACATGTACCCTGACACAAGGAATGCTTTGTAAGTAACTGACATGTATCCTGACACAAGGAATGCTTTGTAAGTAACTGACATGTACCAGACACAAGGAATGCTTTGTAAGTAACTGACATGTACCCTGACACAAGGAATGCTCTGTAAGTAACTGGCATGTACCAGACACAAGGAATTCTCTGTAAGTAACTGACATGTACCAGACACGAGGAATGCTTTGTAAGTAACTAACATGTACCAGACACAAGGAATGCTATGTAAGTAACTGACATGTACCCTGACACAAGGAATGCTTTGTAAGTAACTGACATGTACCCTGACACAAGGAATGCTTTGAAAGTAACTGACATGTACCAGACACAAGGAATGCTATGTTAGTAACTGACATGTACCCGACACAAGGAATGCTATGTAAGTATTAACCAAGATTAACTGCCATAGACACTAGGAAGAGACATGACATGGCCAGACACAAAGAATGTTCTTTTATTTTGAAATTGTTTAGTAAAATAATGGTCATGTACAAGACAACAAGCATTAATTCAAAAAGTTACCAATGTACTCTGGAAACAAGGAACATGAACCTACAAGAAATAAGCGATGTTTCATCATGGTCATATACAAGAAACAAAAGCTCTGTAAATATTGAACCATAATGTTACTTACTTGAACATGGCGTAAGTCATTTAAGTATTGAATCTGAAGAAAACAACTTTTACAAGACAGAGTGACCTGTATGTATTGAAGCTTTCAGTTACCAATGAGTTCTTATTTAATTTATCAACAGGTATATGTTACCATGTGCTCTTTCAAGATCATTGCAAAAAATATGAATACACATAAATGTGACAAATTCTAAGACAAATAGTTCCATAATTCATGACTGTGTTACTTAGTCTGTAGTGTGTGCTAGATTTTATTTAAAAGAAGTATACATAACTTTATTTTCATGCAAAAGAAGCTATAACTCAAAATATGATAGATAACAAAATTTTATCAAAAGGAAGGAATCAGCAAGAGGCATGAGTGATTTAGGATAATGTAAATGTGATTTGCAGAAAAAGTGTCAGAGTCTTCTAGTTTGCATGACTTGTGTGATTATTTTAATTGCAATCAGATCATTTTAATGGTGATTAATGAGCTATGTATTGGTCATTCATCATACATCATATAAATAAAAACTGTATTTTTTATTTTTACAGTGTAAATTTCTTCTGTAATTAAGTCACAGACATTATACTAGTAATTGTGTATTCAGTTTTAAATTTGGTTATGAAGATACAGCATTCATAATTAACTTTTCAGGTAATTGACATATACGACATCACAAATGGTGCATTCATGTTTTGATTTACTAACACCCAGGCATTATGAATGATGTATCATATTATTGTGTTGTGGTTAAAAATACTTGTAATGTGTTAATTTCTTCTTAAAAAGAGAAGTTATTTGTCATAATTTGAGGTAGTTTTAATATTAAGGTGTCTGCATCGTGTGATCTCGTGACACAAGAGATAATTACGCTGAAGCTGATTACGGCTGTGATTGATTCTCTCCCATTTATAAACATGTGACAGATCCATGCACTAGTCTTCTAATTAGGCTCCATAAAATTCTACTTACCTTTACTATCTGAGTAAGAAGTTCAAAAGAAATATCAGAGCAGAAAATAAAAACAAAATATAGATATACAGTTGAACTTCGGTATCTTGAACACGGATATCTCGAATACCATGGATATGTTGGAGTGATTTGGAAGTCCCAAGCAATATCTTTAAGTATTTTACCCCCAATATCTCAAACCCTCGGATATCTCGAAGTTTATTCTCGGTCCCATTGAGTTTGAGAAAATGAGGTTTGACTGTACATTTATCCCCCCCCCCAAAAAAAAATGGGGAGGAGTAGATTGTTTAATTAAGCAGGTTTATATAAAACAGGCTGTTTGAAAATGTATGTAATACCATGTGCTGTTGAAGTTTTAGTGACACATCTTGGCATTGACAAAGTTTTCATCATAATAGATTAATTCATGTTTATATATAGATCAAACATCTGATATTGACCACCCAATATTGATTTATGTATAGATCAACATCTGACATTGACCACCCAGTATTGACTCCATCTCATCTTCAAGTGTATTTCCATGTCACAAATATTTTATTTATAATAAATTAAATGAATTATGCATTGGGAGGAATAATTTGTATTTAGAACTAACATCATCCTGTGCATATCAATGAGGATTTGACTTAATTAAGTCATGTGCATTTGTTATAGTAAGGTCATATTTTGCATTAATTTACTTCCCTTAAGTTCTTATTCCTATTTATGGTAATGAATCTGGCTTAAATGGAGGGCAAAATTGATAAAAAGAAGATTAATGAAGCCTTGAAGTTACATGTATCTGTTCTTATGAGGATCCTGCATATAAAAAAAGTATGAAGCTCAATCACAGTTTAGTCAAAACTTTTTGTTGATAGGATTTTTAAAATATCTCTTCTTCAAAGGAGCATCTTCGCAAGCCATGGGTTTTTGGTCTGCTTCTCTCCCCGGTCCCCAATGAACAATGATGATTCCACAGTAATTGCACCCCGTTATTAGCAGGCCTATTAAGCGGACCGAAAACCCTTGGCTTGCGAAGATGTCAAAGGAGAAATAATTCAAGTTCCTATATATAACTATATCAAGCATTTCATATAAGAGAAGAGTTTTTTCCCCCCCAAGATTACTTAATGTTTTAAAGAAACGCCTTCTCTCCAAGAAATAATCATGATAATAAATAATAGAAAGAATAGAATAAAAAGTAAAAATTCATGTGCTCATCAACCTTGCTTCACTTTTTGATCATATTGATGAATATGTTGAATTTTTTCGTGTGATATATGTTTTATCTCTTGTTGTATGTTGACAGGTGTAGAGAAGAGAGGCACAGCTCTGACCTTGACCCCACCAGTGTCATCATTACATTCCATAATGAGGCCAGGTCAACTTTACTACGCACCATTGTCAGGTATAGCAGTGACAACACAATTTATAATGCTAAAGATCTTTTTAATTTAACATATGGTAAATTAGTATGTGTATGTATATAACATAACCTTATATTTATTGTATAATTACCAGTATTACAATTAAGTGAAAATTAGCTCACCTTGAAATAATGAAATAGAGAAGGGGCAACAAGTGCAAAAGAATACTATATCTATACTTAGATTTTAGTTGTGATAGCTTGTGTATATATACTCATTGCTAATTTGATCAGTGGTTCTATTTTATTTTTTTTCAGTGTATTTTCTAGAAGTCCAAAACATTTGATAAGGGAGATAATCCTGGTGGATGATTTCAGTGACGATGGTAATTAATTGTTATTTAGATTGAATTTACTAAACATGCTAAAATGATGCAGACTAAGGAATTTGTCCACAAACAGCATTTTATTTCTGTTATTATTTTCATCATTAAGTAACTGTTAAATGTATAGTACAAACACATGCAGATATAATGATTTTATGGATACAGCAAAGTTTTTAAAATCCCCTGGCAAAATTCTGAACAATTCCTTGTTGAATTTTATGGTTATAATCAAGTCTGGTATAGCAAATTAATGGATATAGCAAACTGATTTTGTGTCCCTAAGAGGTTAAAAATAACAAAATTACATCATTTATAAAAAATTTTCAAAGATCATAATTTTTAAAATATTGAATGGGTATAATTTTATATTTGAGATTCAATTTGTACAAAAACTTTAGTAATCCAAGGTAAATTTTGTGTATAATACTTTCCAAAATATATTTGGTAGTCATACTTGAAGGAAAATATTTGTATTGTGAATTTACTTTAAATACTTTAATGAATTTGTTATACAGATAAAGCAAACTACCAATACAGCAAATTTGCAGGTCCCCAGGACTTAGCTATAACCTAGTTTTACTGTAGTCAGGTTTCAGTGAACATCCAGTTTTTAATAAAGTTTACCATTTTAGCCTCTGATGGGGAGGAACTAGCCAAAATAAAGAAAGTGAAGATCCTCCGAAATAACAAGAGAGAGGGTCTAATGAGATCCCGAGTCAAGGGGGCGGATGTGGCTAAGGCCCCCATTCTGACCTTCTTAGACAGCCACTGTGAGTGTAACGTTGGGTGGTTAGAACCCCTGCTGGACAGAATAAAAGAAGTAAGTGTTATATAAGAGCACTACTAGAAATAATAAAACCATTTTATAAGTGATGATTCTGTTTTGATATTTATCTGAATTCCGCTAATTTGAATCCAAAAATCTGATATTTACGAGTGTTTTTCGATATTTCGGTACTTTCTGTTTTTGCAGTTATCCTTTTCAGTTTTTGTCAAGGTAAAAAATTCTGCTATGTTTAGTCAGCTGTCTTTTCATCCAGTCTGCATCATCCAGACGTTTGCTTTTATCTTCAAGTAAGGTAAACTCAAATGTAGTGATGATTCAGACTTCTTTACAGTGGCATGGCAATTCAATAAGCCAGGTCTGGATGTAAGAGGCATTGAACAAAATGTCACACCTCATTTTTTAAATCGTTTTTGGGGCTTGCTTAAGCCCATTTGTTGTCACCTCCTAGATCCCCAACCTATTTCAGATATTTTTGCCCATTCACAGAATCATCACTGTTATACCCCAATATATACTTCAAAACACTGGTAAATACAATAGAATGAGTCTAATTAATGATTTTTAGATAGAAACATTGGATGTAGCACTTAAAATAATGGAGCAATGAATATAATTTTACGAGCTTGCTCAAATTGATATTTGTGTAAAACTAGGTCACAAAAGCCAGTACAGAAACAATTTGGAATTGTATTGTAACTGTGTTGAAATCCAGTAACGTGTAATAATTTCGAAATAAAAGCAAGTATAAAATGAGTGCTTCATTAGGAATTGAGGAATTTTTACAGGTAAATCGTAGCATTTCGAATTCATTTAGACTGTATTCAAATAACTTCTGAACATTTCAGGACAGAACTCGAGTTGTGAGTCCCATCATAGATGTGATAAACATGGACAACTTTGAGTACATTGGAGCCTCAGCTGATCTCAAAGGGGGTTAGTACAAACTACAATGTACATGTACTGCAAACGTATCTTTTTCCACAGTGTTGTAATTCTGTGGAATCACAATGTTTCCATGGGTAGAAAATTACACTGATTCTTGGATTACCATTGTATATCTTAAATGCACTGTGACAATTTTGGTGGAATTAGTTTTCACCAAATTTTTTTTTACCAAAAGTTTACATAGCTTAAATTAATCCCAAGCAGAAGAAAAGTACTTTTACAGTAATATAAGGGGTTAGTATGACAAATCACAATACAATATGAGGGGATATTATTACAATTTACCATACAATACAATTGGCCTTGGTTAATATTACAATTTACAATACATTGTGAGGGGTCAGTATTGCAAATCACATAAAAATGTAAGGGATTAGTACTGTGAATCACTTTTTATTAGTGAGAACTTTATTTTCACATAATTACACTAGTCTGTCTGCAAGCCAAAATTTTATTCTCGCGTAAATTTGTAATGTAAAGGATTACATTTTGCAATAACCACAGCTTGCAAAAATTTTGTCTTGTTATTTTACAGATGTCTATCTTGCATAAATAAGGTTGCAAAAATAAAGTGATCAACAGTATTAAATATCACAATAGAATATGGGGTTTAGTATTACTAATTGCGATACATTTTAGGGGTTAATATTATACTTTTATATTACTAAAAAATTTACTTTAACTGGCATAGTAAAATAGAATTTAGCTTATCAATATGTTTTATTGTTATACCTTTAAAAAATTGTTCCTATATAAATCAATACTTAAATATTTCTAACATTTCGAATGTTTTTAAAACTGAGCGGTCATAAAAAAATCAATGTTTGACCGCGGATTAAGATATTGGACCTACTTACGTCACACTGTGGGTTGGAGCAGCTAAATCTTATTTGCATTTGTTGATGTTCGACAGTGACAGAATAGATCAAGTTTAAAATCAGTTTACATCACAGAACCCAGCACAAGATACATGCATGTCAAAAAAATTAAAAGAAAAGTTATAGCAAAACTTTATTGACTGTGTTCTTGGGCAAAATGCATTTTGTCAACCCTCAAACCACTATTTGCTTTCGGCCTACCGGCAAACAGTTTGGTTCTTAGGTCCAACAAAAAGCATGTTGCCCTCGAACCCAGTCAATAAATGTACATGTATAACGTTTTGCACATTTTTTTTAACAAAGTCTAACTTTTGAAAATTTATTGATATATATAATTATTGAGTTTCCATGTTGTAGGATTTGATTGGAACCTGGTTTTTAAGTGGGATTACATGACTCCAGAGGAAAGAAACAAACGAGCAGGAAATCCAATTCAACCAATCAGGTATGTTTGTTAATTCAACCAATCAGGTATGTGTGTCAATTCAACCAATCAGGTATGTGTGTCAATTCAACCAATCAGGTATGTGTGTCAATTTAACCAATCTGGTGATGTGTCAGTTCAAGGTTGTGTATATAATTGTGTCGTATTCCGTATGAATTTGATAATGTACTGTTATCTGAAATTTTTATTTCCCATACATGTGATTCTTCCGGCGGGAGACAAAATCTCCCGATATTTCACCCCCTTTCCCCCCCTCTCGATTAATTTTTAAATCTTCCGTGTTTTAAAATTCTTAAAATTAAGTATTATTTGCAATATTTTTTTGATCGTGTTTCATTTAATTGCTCAGAATGAAAAGAAATTGAGATAACAACGCCAGTGCAATAAATTTTCACAGCGGTAGGCTTCGTAGGAATCAACATGAGGTCGTATAATTATGTTGTAAAAATTAGTGATATATCAACTTGATAAAAGACCATTGATGTTTATTACTGAATGCAAAACATTTTAATTAGTTGCTAAGATACCCAGTTGCCATCTTCTAATGCTGCTTTGGTCATTAAAAGATAGTTATAATGTAGGTCACACTCTAGTTAAAAAT